TCCGGCGACGAGGGTGTGATGACAACAATGATGTTTACACACCGTTCCATCAGCGGTGTTTATTGGGCGCGCGGGGGAGGCCCCGTTGCGACGCTCACAGCGATTCCCGGACCTCTCTCGATTGCAGCCGGGACGGTTATCGTGGAGGTTTTAGTCGGTTGGAGCCCGACAATACCACGCCGCTTTTCCCAGAAGCGGCCTGGCGTCCGTGCGGATTTCCTCTACGTAAAATATATATAAAAAATAAAGGCATTACTCATAGTAGAAGCACCTGATATATATTTTGCGATAGTAACTTAATAATTAATTACTTGTTAAAGTACAGTGAAAAGAAAATTTTCTGTCGATAAATTTATTACTTTTGTTTTCTCGGTTTCGAGTATATGATAGTGTTTAACTACACAGAAAAGAAATCATTTGCTTCGTTTAAAAAGAAACCACGTTTTTGTCAGTTTTTTCTGGTCGAGTGTCCGCTCTATTAGCGACAATTAAAAATGGCGAAACGACCAGCATAGGCATCGGAAATGGCTAATTATCATGTTAATTGCGTTTCGTCGGGGTGCACATTGTTAAATCGGTATGCAAAGGGACGCGTGACTAAAGCAAGACGCGGATGAAACCGGGAGTTCCGTGCAGCAGGTGATAAATAGCGAAAACACGATAAGGCGCAACGAAAACAAGGGGGAAGCTTCGCAATTAAAATTCAGTAACTCGCTTACCGGAGTACACGTCTCGATTGTAGTAGTATCCATTTAATACGATAAAGCCAGCGCCGCTTTACACCGAGTACAAATCACCTCGCAATCACAGCTTTCAATTGCTTCTACGCGAAACGATGAAGTGTTACGACTACCAGGCTAGATTCAAATTAATAGTGTATTTTGTGGCCCTTGTTAATGATCGCCCACGCCATTCAATCGTTAGTCGTCCTTTCATATTTAACGCTCTCTACATATACACGGCTATCCTCGTAAGTAGTAGGACACTTATACATACAGAGATAAATGGCAGAAACAATTAGAGAATTATTAAAAGCTTCAACGATTGAAGATTACAGAGGAAAAATACGATGGCTTATCATATTTTCCCTTGTGGTCTTCAATTATTATCCGCTTTAAAACTTACAAACATAGAGACAGATTATACGGTTTGAACATACGTGAAGGATTTACATATTCAATGTTTAATATTTAAACCGATTATTTCATCTTATATAAAACTAGGAGAAGTCGAATGTAATTTTACATTTGCAGTAAACAAGATATTTTCTCGGTTCATTTATACCTGTTGTTGCGACCTCTCAACTAATTGGCGATCAGCTAAATTGAAAAACTGGAATCGCGAACCTTGAATGATATTAACGCTTAATGTGCAGGGAGATTAAAGAGTTCTAGTTTGATTGTGATTTTTTTCTGTTTATTTGAAGTGTTTAGTATAAACGTGAAAGGTTTAATCGTGTCTTATTCTGTAAGCGCCTGGTGTTTATATTCTAAGTATCGGTTTAGGGAATGTTCTTTCGTCAACGTTTTCTGCGAGGTTGCAATCTATGTTTGTCCAATCATGTGACTGTTCAACTGTCGTGGGCTTCTCGCATGTGGTGCGTCATGTGCATACCTGGTCGAAGGTGCGTAGCGTAACGTCACGTTAGCGACTTCATCCGATTGTCTATCGTTGAATTCCAATCTGTGATCGAAGTTTATGACACGTCGTCTGTTATTGAGCGGACCGTTCGAGCGCTCAAACGTGCTAATTATGTTGTCGACGTGATCTGAGTTGTAAACTTTATAATGTGCAATGTGGAAAATTTCAACTTCTGAAAAAATAGCAGGTGTGCTGTCCGTATCGTAAAGTTGAGATAATCTTATATCCTCAACACCTGTTATTTTTTAGAAGGAGAGTAATTTACTATCTGCCCTAATATTTTTCTCGTACGATAATATTCCTTCCAGAACACTCGGTTCTGTTATCACTCACAACACCGTCTTGCTGGTTTCTTATCTTTCGGAGACAAACAAGCTTTCGTTGCGTCGAAAACAATGCCGCTATCGCTGGTTGCATGTAAATTTTTCTTGTACACGAAATTACCGCGTATGGTTACTCTGGCGTCTCGAAAAGAACGTTTCTCTCGGGTAAAATTCTCGAGAGAGATTTCTTAAAGTTTCTGAACAACAGATAGCAGCAATTATTATTAGAGTTATTTACGTTTGTCGCCGGTTATATCGCAGCATGAAATATTACAAGTTAAAGACGTTGGTCGAGAAGCAAGGTATAATAATATTTTTCAAATACATTAATTAATATCAGTGAGAGGTAGCTGTTGTCCTGTTGGACAAAGATAAATCGTTCGTTTAATTGGATTCCTCTAACAATGCAGAGATGCAAGGAAGTGTAAGGGGTGAAATATTTAGCGTGAGCTGCACGACTAATTAATGAAACGGGATTACGGTATAATAAACTGTGCGGCAGCAATTGTTCGGATTTAATGTACCAATCGTTACATTTTCTTTCGAACTATAATATACGTCCGTCATCGCGTTAACAATTGTTTCTTCATTGACATGAATAATGTCTTCGTAACATTAATCAACGAAGAAGCTAAAATATCGTTACGGATTCTGTTCTCTTTCTGTTTGTTTGATTTGAGCATTAATCACTGTAAAATTCAAGAACATTAGAAATAGATTTCTGTTCGTTTCTTGATTTCTTGAGTTCATTTCTTAAGAGCAACTTGCTCGTGTAAATACAGATGACGAATCTATGCAATTTAAAAAACAATCAAGTAATGAATTATGTTTGTAATGCTCAACAGAGTACGAAAATATATATTTAATCCCCTAAATACGTAAAATTACAGTTTTCATAGCATGGAGTTAATCGTTGAATTTAAAAATCCCTCACCGTGTTTTCTGCTTGTTATCATCGATAATATTTCAGATAAAAACTAATCGTCTTTTTAATTTTCCGTAGCTTTATACGTTTGCTTTAATGTTCCAAATTATGATCGTCAAATACTCGTAATATTTGTCGCGGTACAAGTACGAATTACACCACTATATTTGTGAAATATTCAAAACGGTATAAAAAGCTACAAATGCAAATGTTTATCAATCTGTGAAACTGTACTCGGAGATAAAGTACGGCTATAGAGAACCCTGTAAACGTTTGGGATTAGTTTCTGGCACGAATCAAATTATGTCTCTCCATCGAGCTTCTCATCTAGAAGTGTGGCAAGGCAAACAAAGCCAGCCGACCGCATAAAGAGAAAGGGAAAAGCACGAGAGAAGAAGAGAACGTTGCTCGGTGCAAAACATTTTCAGAAGCGAGGTCCCGCTCGTTAGCGGCGTGCGAATTTTATTTGCATCCTATTAAAATGCAACTTCGCTAAATACTTCCAATACTTCTGCGTTCGTGACCCGCTCGATAAAGTTGCAAGTGTTTTGCGGTCGTGAAATTAAACCTTGCGCGCGCACTTATTTACCGATCGTAGAAAAAAATAGACGAACAAACATTGTAGCAATGAGATTCTAAATCTGAAACTTTTTAAATCGTAATTGTAAGCTTCGATCAAATTAGTGGAATTGCTTGAATTCGAACCAAGCGAAACAACAGGTTTGCATCAGTAGAGTGTTCCAACCGGCTTAAAGTCGAGTGACCTGATTAGTGAGAATGGGAATAAAAATTTGATACGGTATTTCGAGTCAAGTGAAAACGTTTACTCGATTTCAAATAATTTGAAACGCTTTATTAAAAATTGGTATCTTTTTTTTTAACTTGAGCTTTCGAATTCGAGAACGATTAATCAAAGAATATTTCGAATAAAACGAAGGAGAGGGTTTCGAGTTCCTTGAATTAATCAAAGTTTAAGCGTTTCTAGTTGTACAAGAACGAAATGAAACGAGTTGTTGCATCGTTTTCCAGGCACGCATCGCTGGAAACAACCGCGAATGTTGTTGGCCGAACTGTGGACAAGCTGTGGAGCGTTGATCATCGGCAGTTCCTTTGAACGGTGAATGCCGCTTTAATAACCAGTCAACCACGCGAAGTATTTCATTAGAGGCCGGAGATCCTGGTGGTGTTGGAGGGACAGGGACGAAGAAGGATGGGCGTGTTGGCGTCGCGTGATACGAATCCACGAGTTTAGAGGAACCAGAAGCTTCCCTTTGACGCCGTTCTCTCGTCTGGCGAGAAAGGAAGTACGATGTAGCACGATTCCGCTACGACCAGAGGCTACGGAAAGTTTAATAAGTGTCCGCTCGCTGTGACTACTACTTACACATGTTCCGGTGTCATCCCATCGTCAACGGGGATTTCTATCGATGTAACTGAGCTGTCTCCTTCAAGGATAAAGGTTTCACCTTGATCCAGGGATGCATCAGTCAAGAAGCATCTCATTCTCTGCCAGTTCGGTTATCGAACGTTCGCCAGCGGCAATAGAACGAGGGAGATGTAGTCAGACATCGACATCGCTACAGTTTCATCGACTTTGACGTATTCCAAGTGTTTAGACTCGATTCGAGTAGGTGTAGATTCTAGAACGCTGATAGATGAAACACGAGAATGACAATAACGTCGAACAGATAGAGATATATCGACTAGAATCTAGGTCGTTAATAGAGTTACAATGGATACGACTGAAGAGACTACATAATCACATAGATGTCTGAAGCCTGAAAACCCGTCCAGTTTTTCCACTAAAATCAAGCAAGCGGAGTTCAAATGTGGCTCAACGTCAATCGTTGGTTCTCCATCGACGTGACAGTGACTTTTGGCAGAATTTCCAACGGGTGGGTCGTGATGCTCGACAGATCGGTTTACGAATCCATTGCCTCCTCGAAACAGTCTCGTGCATCCTGTTCTTTCCACTCTCCGCTGCCTCGAAGTGGAATTTATTTCCAATCTGTATTTCCAGCCTGTAGAAACGCGACCGGGGTGCTAGCTACGTATGCACGGTCCGTAGGAACACGGAACTCGATTCGACGAAATAACACGTGGCTAGGGATCAGCAGCCGGGGATCAGCCTCACCTCTCACGAGAATAGATCTGCGAAACGTACTCTAATTCTTCCTTCGGCTTGACGTTCCATTCTTCGAAGAACGTCGATATTCTAACGACAGACAGAAATGGTACTTCGATAAAATATAGTACTGTAATACAAGTGCAAAGACAAGTTAACACCAGACGATACTCTCACAGTTGAAAGAACACAGTAACGACCTGATTCGCAGTGGTTTTCGACTAATTCAGTGGCGTGCTTAAAAAGCTTTCAGTGAGAAGACAGCGCGCACCGTTCGCGTGAAGTCAGTTGCAGCGCAAAAAGGGGGTGGAGCTGTAGAGACTATGATACCAGTTTGATAACGTGGGTCAGAGACTCGGTGCACGGTCGCGAGCAGCTACGTCCGTGTCTGGCCCGGCCAGCCGTGTTCATCCTTCTGGTAAGCAAGTCAGGTTGGTTGGACGAGAGTTCGAGGAGACTCGAAACAAGGAACGAACGATCGAGAGAGTGGAAGAGAGAGAGAAGGCAGAAGTTGCAGACGAGGAAAGCAAGGAATACACCGGGTCAGAGAGAATGCAGAGATTATAGAGAGTCTGTACGTGTGTGTCAGGGTAAAGAAGAAGAGGGTCAACTGGGAAAGTAAGAGACAAAGAAGGAGCAAAAGGGATTCGTAGGTGAAAAAAGAGAAGAAGAGAACAACGGACTGCAACGTGAACGTAGAAGTTAAAGAAGAGGAGGGGGTGGCGGAGGAAGAGGAAGAGGTGAGAGGACAAGCAGGCAAGTTTCCGTCTGTCCAAAGTGGATGGGGGTGAAAATGTTCGGAGTGTTGCTGGCATGTGTCTGGCTGGTTGCCGGCTCCCCGTTACATCCCTGGCCGCTAATACCGCACAAAGGTATGTGCCCAATCTACTAGTAATTTCTTATTGCTTCTTTTTTCGTCGATGAAATAAACCCGATGATTATGAATCCATTCGACCATACGATTTTCGTATCTTCGTAAGAGCGAGAGGATTATGAAGCAAACGTTCATTCGTCGAATATAGGGAATAAAGTTTTTCGTCGTTTCTTTTGCATCGTTGTTGGTATTGTTGTTTATCGTCCTATGCACGCGCGTTGATTTTTTTACATCTTGAACATACGGCCTCTCTTGCGATGCGGTTTGGTAGAACGTCGACAGTTTGTTGCAATTTTTTTTTCTCTTTCTTTCCCGGTCCTTTTTCCATCGAAATTACAGGAGCCCCAACGAGAGAGCTCTGGCAGTCTTTCACCCTCTTGCCCCCCATCGCTGTTGGCAGACTGTAGTTTTACGGCTGACGCGAACACCGTAATTTAAAATACTCCGCGATAAAAGAGACGAACGATAACGGCTTAACAACAAGAACAAAAAGTTATTCCATCTCGCAACGTTGATAATCCGATGTAGAAAAGTTGCCCGACGTTTCGTTGAAGTTCTTAACGCTGTGCTAAACGTTCTCTGTCGACTAACGATGATAGGAAACATACTCTCTGGTCGAACCACTGTTAAAAAGAACTGTTGACTTCCTTTGTGCTTTTCTTTGTTAATCCAAACTTCGAACCCCGTCAACTTTCTTCATTAAAAATACGCTCGTTAGGTTACAAAAATAATGTAGCAAGTAATAAGTGGGGAAGTTTCAGTCTTGTGGATATATGTTCAAGTAGAATGAGGCTGTCCATTGTCAACCACTTCCTGTGCGTTACGCGTACGTAAAAGTATTTGTTGAACTTCTTTTACATCTATTCAGTGAAAGAACATCTATTATTCATACCAATGATAGAATTAATATAAATCTTCATTTTATCAAAACATTTTAAATAGAGTAAGGCTATTTGTCAGCCTGACGTAATGCTGTACTATCTACTCTAAATTGAGGCTGTTGAACTTTTGTTCACATTTATCCATTCAAAAGAGTAATATTAACCGTACCAATTATGGAAATATTACGGATTACCCTCTTTTCTAACATACAATAGAATTTAAAAGACAATTTAATTTTGTCATTAACAATTGGTCGGAAAAAAACATCATTGTAACGACGACAACGATTAATACGCGTTATGTTAACGATCTGGAGTAGGTAATAGACGGTTCCATGGTTGGAAACCATCCTACAGCGGCAGACACAAAGAAAAGTAGCCACCTTTTTCCAGGCTCTTTGTATCGGTATCATCGTTCTCTCTTTTGTGTCGTCGCTTTCTTCAAGCTCCGTGGATGGAAATGAAGACACGAACCGACGGTAAATCGAGCGACGCGCACACCGGAAAGGCACGCTCGATTTCGCAAACGCGCAGCACCGACTATTACGTGGCTTTGCTCGCGTAATCGCGCTTCCATTTCGAGAATTAGTCCATCAGGATTCAACGTCGCGTGAGATCAACCGACTCATGTCAACACCGCTATCGTTTCTTTTCGGTGCACCATTAAAAAGAAAGGAAAAAGGGAGGAAGAGAGGAAATGTTTCTACTTTTGTCGAAAAGAGTTGGACTCTGTTCTTTATCCGCGAAAATGTCCCGCACGGATGTTTCAAACGGTAATTGGCGTAACGTCCCTCGAGTGTTCCACCTCTGGTCTGATACTGATAGACGCAACTGGTTTCGCGAAGAGAATTCCGATCGGAGTTTTTCCATTCTAATGAAATTAATTCGTTAAAACGACGAGAAACTTACTCGTTGTTTCTTTCCCACTTTAGACATTCTCTGGTTGTCGAGACTCTGCATCGATTAACGAGTTCGGGGGTCAAACTTCGCCCTTCCTTCTTATCTAAGTAATAACAGAGTAACAAAGTGAAATTAAAAGAATTTAAGAATTCGCAAGTTCGATCGATTAATTTACCAGGCGAGACTTTTAATCAAGAAGCGTTCGACGTGTCTCGGATTTCATTTCGCGCGTTGTTCCCTGTCTCGGGATTCCCACGAGGCGATGGATTTCATTGGAAATAGGCGACAGAGAGCTCGTCACGTAGTCCGATAAGAGCGATCCTCGATCAACGCCTCGGTGGTTTGTACGTAGCAGAGCGTTCGAATCGGTGATAGCGATCGCGCGTGCAAAGGCAAACGGGCTGAGACTGATAAATATTTAACCAAACCGTAGAGACGACCGACATACACGCTACAAGCCAAAAGAAAAATTTAATATTGGCACTCTCGTCACGGTGTGCACGGTTGCATTACGCGAAAAATTCCGGCGCAATTAGAGCAGCAAACGGAACAATTTCATTACGTCTAGCGATCAATATATCCCCCGGCAATACGTTGCTTCTAATTTGGACAAGTCTGTCTCAAAAGAGTAACTCATGTGGCAGTGGAACACAGAAGACAAAGAGTGAAATCAAGTCTCGCTTCGCTAGCTACTTCGCCTATCTGATCCCGATTATTTGCATTATACATTTGTAATGTTGCACGGGTCGCCTAATGGAACATTCGAATTTTGGATTAATATTCTCCAATTAAAAATTGAACATTTCATACACTTTTCACGAATTTTGCACCATTACATAATTAAACATTGCTGTGTTTCCTCGTCGTTATTATTTACAATAATTTCTGCCTTTCCTTATTTGTAGAAAAATTATTGGAAATCGATTTAAAAATATGCGGATCACAGGATAGCATTTTTATTATTATCGTATATTATTGTTCGCAAACGGAAAGCAAAGAAATAGAAAAATATGTGCTTGAGCCACTCGTATTCATTTTTGACTGTTTAATATCTAGATAATGGAAAACTGAAGCTTGTTTGAGCTACATTTTGAAGTGGAAAATAATTAGGCCATAGTCGTATGAATGGTTGAAAGGCGAAGAAGAGTGATATTTGGCAGACAGAAAAATGAGGAAAACGTTGAGCGTTTCAACGCTAGAATGAACGATCCCCGGTGTAAAGTAAAAAATGGAAACGAGGCAAATGTCTGTTTCAGTCGAACCTTTGTCAACGCTCCCCCAAATTTCCGTATCCATTTTTATCAAATTCAAGGGAATCACGTTGTGTTGTATCATATCATGACATTTGCCGTTTAAAGTGTTCGTCATCCTTCATTCCTTTTCTTTTTACTTTTCCTTTATCATTATTTGTATCGTGGTTGAATCCGTTCAGATCTCATTCCCCAGTGAATTAAGCGAAATCACGCGAAATTTCACGATGAAAGTGAAACACGGGCGTGACAAAGGGTGAAAGTGACTTTTATTTTGTCGAGCGATGAAATCGGAGATTTCCTGTCAATTTCGAGAAGAAAGAATTTCATTCTCTGCTCCACACGTGATAAATGCATCGAATCGTAAATTTGATCGCGCCGTTTAACGCAATTTTACTGAATTTTACTGAAATTGCGCTAAAACAGAAAGAAACATGTACTCGGTCAAGAAATAAAAGGAAATTCCAGCAATACCAGTTAATTTCCTGATCGCATGGACGAATATTACGCGACTGTTATACGTCGATAAATTATTCTAGCTATCTATGCACCGCATATACCTATCTCCACATCAGTAGGAGTATCTACTTTGTATTACAAGCGACATGTTCTCGAGTGTAAACCAAACGCGGCTGCACACCGGTGATGAATAATACGCGGTGAAACTGTACACCGTATAATTGCATATTTTTGCGGCGACTAATGCACTCATGGCTCGCGGTCGTTCGTTACGCACACTATTCGGCTACGGTGATGCGAATGTTTTATAAATTCGACTGATGACCGGCGAATGTTTACTGGCTGAAGCACAGCGGATCGATACTCAGCCTCGTTTCATTTCCTCCATTTTATTCTTATATTCAGCTGTAATGGACAATTTTTGTAGTTGACCTATCAACGAAACCAAAGTCGACTCGACTTTTTGATAAAAATATTTCCAAGGATGAATAAAATACGGATTTTTGCGATATCTGACCAATCACGCTCTTATACCATTTAAAAACACCGCGATAATAATTTGCAGCATAGTTTCTCTAAATTTATTTCTAGTGTCTATATCGTTCGAGTTTGTTAATTTTCGAGAAGAAGTGAAACACCTATTTCTCTGATGTCTGACCGTATTGATTAATCACGGACTAGTACCACTTAAAAATAATGCGCAATAGCAATAGAGAATTTAATTTGTCTAAATTTATTTTTGGAATCTATCTGGTTCCGATTCATTAATTAATCTATTCAGTAGATGAAATTGCAAAGATTAAGAGTAAAATTTCGGTCGCAGTCCAACACTCTACGTGACCAGAATCGGGCAATCGCGTATAGTTTAACGTACATTTTGCACGTTTTTTAGAGATTGTCTTTCAAAAGCAGCTCTCGAAGAGCAGCCGTGAGATTGTTAAAAGCAAGGAGCTAGAACTGAAGACAAAGCCGAGCCCGGAGCACATCCTGTACTTTGAAATCCGAGAGCCGCCTACGTAAGAAGGACGGGCAACGAGCTGGGGTTGGTTGAAAACCATAAGAAAAAATCAAGGTAACTGCTAGCGGGCAGATTATACGATCCGAAGGTAACCGTGTTGGTTAACGATGGCGTTGCCACGTTGATGGCTCCACAGAGGGAAAAGTTGCAATCGCGACGGGTAACAAGCCTGTATAATATAAAATTGCATATTCATACTTAGCTCCAGGCAAACCATGAATACGTGGCTGCTGTCGTCTTATCTGAACGATGTGCATTATCGAATTGTTTTCGCTCGAACGGGGAACAGAGGGTTGGAGCAGACCCGTATTAAATGATGGAACGTTGATAAGGGGAACGTGGTCTTCGTTTGACCGATTGTGCACGGGTCAAACGTTGTGGAAAGTGGAAAACAAATTGAGAGTGGAACGAGGCTTCGATTAGATCTCTCTCTTACGACATAACGTAGAATTCATCCGGTAAAGAATACGAGAGACGATTACCGGGAACT